TTTTTTTTTTTTTTTCCCTACCTCTGTTAGATACGCAATGAAAGGAGTTCTAAGTTCTAGCCCTCACTTGCTACATGTGACCTTGAGCAAGCCACTTAACTTCTTTGGGCTCCTTCCTCAGCTATAAATTGGGGATAATAATCTCTGCCAGAGATTCGGCCTACAGGACCTTCATCGCTGAGATAATAAAGGTCCAAATACTGTGTACAAAAGCCACAGAGTGCCGCACTTCCTCGCCACTCTTTTGGCACGTGACTATACTCAGCGGGGCGCTAATATCCCATATATTTGTTTTCCAACTTTCCCTGCATGGGTTTTGTCTCCTAAATTAGTATGACCTTGGGCAACTCGAGAGCCCTCCCTGGGCTTCGGTTTCTTAAAATGAAGGTATTTGAGGAACCCCACCCCACCACTGGCTTTCTAGGAGTGTAGAAAAAAATCAAAATAGTTACACTTTTAGAAGTACCAAGTGCTTTACAAGCATGACTTCATTACTCTTCCTAGCAGCTCTATGAAGTAGACCCTATTACTGGGCCCTATTTTACTAAGGGGGAAACAGGCTCACAAAGGCAATACACCCTTGCCTAGCTGCTCAAAACTATTTAAGTGATAGAGCCAAGGTGTGAGCTTTCCTCTGACTCCAAGCTGAACTTTAACCACTCTACCAATCTGTCGTCCAACAAAGGATTCTGGCGACAGAATCCCCTTGCTGTGATGTTCTTGGCTGGATCAAAATGGGCTGGAGGTGGGCAAGGGCATGTTGCTGAGGCTTCCGGGTTCTGCTGCCTGCCTAGAGACTTCAGATGAGTTCTGCCTTCTCTGGGATTCACTTTTCCTACGCGTGAAACGGAAGTGTGAGACTAAGTAAGCAAGGTCACTCATGGAACCCGCGAAAACCACAGATTCTCCTGATTGTTCGCATGCAGTATGTCAGGGTGTGTTTTTCTCCGACGCCCCAAACGATGCCGACGAAACCAGTGCTCTCAATGTTCTGTTGGCGTTGGTGAGGCCGCAGGGAGCCCCCGCGGGACTCCTGAGAAGGTGTGGGGCCCAAGCGGAGCCCAGCCTGGTTACGTGGGGTCCAAGGTCCCCAAATCCTCGCCGGCGCGACGTCAGAGGGGGCGCGACGCGACCTCCCAGACCTGTAGCACTGCGTGACGTGAGACGGGCGCGACCGACCAGCCCTTTTGCCTTCTCTCCCGCGCGAGACCTCACTGAAGCCAGCTTCAGCGTGGGAAGGGCGCGGAGAAATCCGGGAGAAAGCAAGGCAGGGCCGGGGCCTGGATTCGGCGAGGCCCCTCCTGGAATCGCCCGCCCCCCACACTCACCTGCCCGTACGGGTAGCTGGCCATGGCGACTCGACGTCACACGCCGGCGGTGGGCGGAGCTTCCCGGTCCTAAACCTGCCCCGCCTGGGCCTGGGGGGCGGGCACGCTTCTAATTGGGTGTCCGTCGCTGTCTATCTTGGGCGCACGGGCCGTCGGGAGTGACGCTACAGGGCGATGGTCGGGTGCCTCGCGGAGAGGCCCGAGGAGCTAAGGGCTGGGTGGAGGTTTCCGGAAATCTTGTTCGCTGTGTTCGCGGTGCTGTTGCTCCCTTTCCTGACCTAGCCTAGGCCCCAGGACTGCTCAGACCCGGGTATTTGGTGAGAAGCTTGGGTCGGTTGTTGCAGTGGTGGCCATGTTTTAACCTGGCAAATGGGACGCGTGATAGTGGTGTAGTTTCAGTTGTCAGTCACTCTTAAGTTTCCGCCCGCCGGAGGAGGGCCCAGGCGGTTGCCGTGACAACGGGAAACAGCCCCAGGCCTCCTGGAAAGGATGGAGGCAACAGCGAAGTACTTCGCTCTAATGTCAGGACACCATGTGCCAATTAGTAGGTTTGGAGTGAGATTTGTGGTCTTTGGAGAGGAAAATCCCCCGCCGTCAGAGGAGGAAAATTAGATCACGTAGGGTCTCTTCTTTCCTAAAATGGGGATCCTAAGGCCCAGAGAGACAGTGACTTGCCCTAGTTCACAGTAGGTTGGGGCAGAGGTGGCCTAGAACTGGTGTCCGTGGATGCCCATTTCTCAGCAGGGAAGCCTTGACTGGTCCACAAAGTCAAATCCTGGTTACTAAGTGACCGCATATAGTCGTACTTACTTGGTCTTGGTGGTTTAGGCTCTACACTTGTTTGCGTGCTTATTTGACTCATTTGTTAAGTTCTTCCATGTGAGCATGGATTGTGTGTGGTTTTGCTTGTCATAGCTCCTGTACCTAGTACAGTGCCTGGCACTGTAGTTTTTAAAAACTCAATAAAGGGGGGCGCCTGGGTGGCGCAGTCGGTTAAGCGTCCGACTTCAGCCAGGTCACGATCTCGCGGTCCGTGAGTTCGAGCCCCGCGTCGGGCTCTGGGCTGATGGCTCGGAGCCTGGAGCCTGTTTCCGATTCTGTGTCTCCCTCTCTCTCTGCCCCTCCCCCGTTCATGCTCTGTCTCTCTCTGTCCCAAAAATAAATAAAAAACGTTGAAAAAAAAATTAAAAAAAAAAAAAAACTCAATAAAGGAAGTGTTACGAAGTGCTATCCATTCCAGCCCATCTATCTAACCATCTAGCCAGGCATTTTCCAAAATCATTGTGCTGATCATGCTATTTGCCCACTGGGCAGCCTACAATGGTTCCTCTTCATCTGCACCTACAAAAAAGCCCCAGCCTCTTCATTCTGGCACCCCAGGCCCTTCACAATGTGACCCAGTCTCATTGGCATTTGGTCCTGTCACTGTGCTGTAGTCCAGCCTGCCTCATGTAAGAGTTCTCTTTGATGTTTTCCCCAAAACTCATTCCTCTCCTTCATCTCAGAAAATTCACCCAGACTCCCAGGCCAGAAACCTAGGATTGTTCTAGGGTGGCCTCTGTTTCTCCACATATTTTCCCATTTCCATTTGCTCTGCTTCCAAAGTAGACCCACATCTACTCTTTTCTCCCTGTTTGCACTATCACTTTAATCCAAGACTCCGTCATCTGTGGCCTACGTCACTGCAGTAGCCTCATGGTCAATGTCCTTGCTTTCACTCTTTCCCCACACTCTATTCTTCGTGGAGCAGCCACAGTGTTTGTCTTATATGTAAATTAGATCGTGTTATTCCTGGGCTTACATTCCTCCAGAGGCTTCCCATACCTCTTAAAATAAAAGCTAAACACAGCCTTATGAACTTCATGGCCCCATGTGACCAACACCTTGCCTGTGTCTCCAGCCTCACTTCCTGCTCCTGCTGTCCCCCTCTGTTCCAGCCATGCTGACCTGGTCTTCACCCATGGAACTGAGCTCATTCCTACCTCCGGATTTTTGGATTAGCTCTTCCCTCTGTCTGGAATGCTCCTGCCTTGACTCTTCACTGGCTGGCCCCTACCTTGCCATCCAGGTTTCGGTTCAAAAATCCCCTTGTGGGGATAGGGACATTCCTTGACACCACATCTAAAGTAGCACTGTTCCCCCACATTCTAGTCATCTATCATCTCACACTGTTTTAGTTTTTCATACTACTTGTCACTGTTTGAATGTCCTATTTAAAGTTTACATGCATATTGCAGGATTGTTCTTTTCTTATTCACTCCTGTATCCCCAGTGCCTAGAATAGTGCCTGGCATGAATTTAATAAATGTTATTAGACATCACCATCATCACCGTCATCCTGTATTGAATGCTAACTATGTGCCCATTGTTGTGCTAAGTACAATGTGTTGTTTTATTTCCACTACGGCACTTTGAGATAGATATTTCTGCTCGTTTATCATGAGGAACTGAGGCTGAAAAGAGGCTACGTGACTTCCTTACTATCAGAAAGATAAATGGAGAGGTCAGGATTTAAACCCAGGTGCACATCTTTTGACTACTCAGTAGTCTTGTCTTAACTTTGTAAACTGCCTCCCTTTCACCCAGTCCCCCCAAAAATGGGTAGAATGGAATTGCAAAATCTCAGAAAGGCAGAAGTCCTGCAGTGTGGGCTGAAGGTCAAGGGGTATTTGCTGGGAGAGAAAATAGCTGATACCTGGGCGGCAAGATGCACACTCATTTCATTCCACAAAAATATTAAACCTATTGCATTCCCACCCCTTGCCAGGCTCTGTTCTAGGTGCTGAGGATTAAATGTCTATGAAAATCTCAAACCCCTAACCCCCTCTGCCCAGCAAAGTGTTCCTAGGAGAACGTTCTGTTGGATGTCTGTGCTTTTTTAGGGGCAAGATTGTCCAAGTCCTCTCTCAGGTACTGAGACCAGCCAACGCCAACATCCAGGGCTGTGCCTCGGAGGACGTGGGGCAGGCCCAGGTGTGTTTATTTTGGAGCACGCTGGATAAAAGGGGGATCAGGATCTTCCAAAGACCGAAAAACAATCAGCTCACTTCCAAAACCTCAACTACCTGAGGCAGACAGAGGTGGGTGGGGAAGTTCCTGTTATTGTTTCAGCTTCAGCCAAAGGGGAACACTTGGATTCCAGTCCTTTTGTAAAGCACAGAGCACTTTGCTGAGTTCGTGGGAGCTCTGTGGTTGACCAGTTAGAGGTGAGGCAGAGCTTGGTAATGGAAGGGCCATCCACTGGAAAATATCACCTCCCCTAGGGACACATCATCCGCCCCCCACCACTGCCCCCTGGCATCCTGGCTCAGCTCCAAGCTCCAGTATTGCTTACTGAGAAGGAATACCAACGGTCACCTAATTATTGTGGAATTAATTCTCTTTGATTCCAACTAGAGCCAGTCCTGAAATTTAAATTGCAGTCGGATGCTGTGGAGGAGAGGTTGATATGCAGCTTTCCGCAGAACCAACAGAAAAATGAGAACAGCAGACGTGGCATTTTGGCCACACTTCTTTTCCATTATGGGATCATATAGAGACTACATTGATATATTCTCTTCCCATAAATTATTCAGGACAACAACAAAAAAGCTAGTCTCGTAATGGGGCTCACAGACCACATGTGAAGAAAGCGTCTAGATTCTGTTGAATTCTGGTGACAGGGGAAACTATTAATGACAAAAAAGGAAGGTTTGAATTCCAGAAGGCATCAAATTGGGGATTTTTCTCTGCGGAAAGAGTGTGCAGCAGCCTTTTCTCCCTCTCGCAGAGCAGAGCGTTTCTCACATTCTCACTTTTCAATTTGCTGCCAGTGAAGTCCCCAGCAGGCAAACCTGACCCAGCGGCCCCCTGCATAAAACCCTTGTCTCCCGCTGCCTGTGCTGCCCACCATCCACATTCCAACCACAAGACACGGTCCCCCTGTCACTCAGCACGCTGTGCTTAGCCACCTCTGGACCTTGGCACATGGTGTTCCCTCTGCTTGAGGTCCCTCAGCCCTGCGCTCCCCTGGCGCCTGGTACTGCCCCTCTCTTCCACTTTGTTGTAATTGCTTGTTTTCCGTGGGTGCGGGGGCCACATCTCTCCTGTTTGCCCCGGACTCCCTGTGACAGTTCCTGGCACAGAGTAGTGAGAGAAAACAGGCTCACCAAGTTAGATGTTACCAGTTTGAATGATCTGTATGCTGCCTTTATTTTTTTTTTTAAGTTTATTTATTTTGAGAGAGAGAGAGAGAGAGAGAGAGTGCATGTGAGCGGGGGCGTGGCAGAGAGAGGGGGAGGGAGAGAATCCCAAGCAGGGTCCCTGCCGTCGGTGCAGAGTCTGACATGGGGCTGGATCCTACGAACCCGTGAGATCATGACCTGAGCCAAAATCAAAAGTCAGACACTTTACCCACTGAGCCACCCAGGCGTCTCTGTATGCTGCCTTTAAAGCCTGGAATATACTGAGAAATGAAGACCAAAGAATAACAGGGCAGGAATGCGAGAGAGCCGCCTAAAAGGAGTGGAAATCTTACGCCCCTCCTTCTTTCTCTTCAGCTTACCCAGCTCCCAAACTTATGAGCAAAATCCATGGATTTTTTTTTTTTTTTTTTTTTTTTTTTTTTTTTTTTGCTGACCACAGTAACAGAAGAGACTATAAAATCCAGCTTTCCATCTGGTTCTTCACGGTCCAAGAAAATAGAGCAATTCCAAACTCCAGGGAGACAAGCACTCAAATCACGACAGCTTAAACCAGCCTGTTATGCACTCCCCTAAAGAGTAGCATGAATTTGACTCTGGAAGAAAAGGAAAGAAAGCCTCATTTACTATGTAAGGATGGATTCCTTGGGGGCCCTCAAAGGGGGATGCGTGTGACGTTTCCCCATAGTAACATTCCCCTCTGGCCTTCAAAGCCAATGCGCTCAACCCAACAGCTGGTCCTGCTTTTCTCTCTCTACTCACGCCAATGTCCTTATCACGAGGCCAGTCATCAGTTAGCGCTTCGCAGACTGGGCCGAAAGTGGAAGCGGGCCTTCCAATGGGAACGCTTTAACATCTGTCCTCATCCACTGTCCAGTGCTGGCTGCTACTTCAATGCAAATATGATGCGTTTGCTTTTTCATGTTTTATGTTAGAACCAGGGTTAGCTGAGAATTGCTGATGAGGGACGAAATAAGAATCGGCACCTCGTTAATCTAAAAGCATCATGGGAGACACCGAGGCGTGCTCCAGAGCCTGCCTGATATCATTCCCCTGGCCACGGGCACACCTCTGCTCCTGGCAGGAGGAAAATAGGGCAAAGGTTCAGAAAAGCCATCAGTGGGCTGGTCTCCCGGCATTTGGGGCCCTACTGGAGGAGGGAGTTTTCAGAACTATGCTGGACATGCCAGCTCCGGAGAGATGACAGCCAGTTTGAGGGCTTCAGGCAGTTTGGATAAGCATCTAGACTCTGGGTACATTTCTGAGCCTGCTCTGTGATCCCTTTGAAGTTTATCCAACTTAAATAAACCCTCCAGAAAGCTGGGACCAGTAAAAAGGCTTTCTTTAGAAGTCCCTCTGGACGTGCCCTGTTGCTTTCTCACAGGGCAGTCAGCCCATCAGCACAAGAGATGTGAAAAAGACAGAAGGAAGAGGCTTGAGATGGAATGTTTCCATAATATTCAACTTGCTCTCTCTCTCGCTCTCTTTTTTTTTTTTTTT